CCCCAAAACCCCAAAACCCCAAAACCCCAAAACCCCTAATTGCCTTAATTAGGATTAAAAAGATTATTGAGAAACAAGAAATTAAATAGTTCAAAATATAAATTTAACTCAGAAAGAATGTCGAATTCAAATATGAAAGACTTCAAGATAGTCAAAAAGATTGGTATAATTTGTTTATAATTATAACAGCATAAATTTAGGGGAGGGAGCATTTAGTTAAGTTTATAGAGTGATTAGAGTAAGCGATAATGTAGAATATGCTTTAAAACAGGTAAATTTCCATTTAAATTCAAAATTTCAACGAATAATCTAATGAAATCTGAAATAGGTTAAAATGGCTAAATTATCAGATAAGGAAAAGCAAAATGCTTTGAACGAGGTTAGAATACTTGCATCTATATAGTAAGCTAAAATATTCAAAGAATCATACTCAAATGTTTAAGTTCTAAATGCAATATATTAAATTCTACATGTAGGCATCCAAACGTTATTGCTTATAAAGAGGCATTCTTTGATGAAAATTCATCCACATTATGCATAGTAATGGAATTTGCAGACGGAGGAGATCTCTATTAAAAGATAATAGACCATCAGAAACGTTCTTCAACCTTCCCTGAGCGAGAAATATGGCAAATAATTGGATAAATGACTAAAGGTCTTAAGGCACTTCATGATAAGAACATTCTACATCGTGATCTCAAATGTGCTAATGTCTTCTTGAATCGAGATGGAACAGTTAAGATGGGTGATCTAAATGTCTCTAAAGTTGCTAATAAAAATGGAGGCCTTCTATTGACATAAACTGGCACGCCATACTATGCAAGCCCAGAGGTTTGGAAAGATCAGCCTTACGATTACAGAAGTGATATATGGTCATTAGGATGTGTTATTTATGAAATGATAAGCCTATAACCACCTTTTCAGGCATAGAACATGGATCAACTCTACAAAAAGGTTCTGAGTGGACAATATCCTCCAATCTCAAATTCATTCTCAAAAGAACTTAGTGAAATATTAGCTCAGTTGCTGCAGGTCATTCCATAAAAAAGACCATCTTGTGATACTATCTTAAGCCATCCTAAAATAGTTGGACTAGGAATAAATGCTCATCAGGATCCTGTCAGTCAAGGAGATGACAATCTTGATTTACTGAAAACTCTTCACATGCCATTGAACTTAAATTAGCTAGGCAAGATCCTGCCAAAGAGTAAATATCAGAAGAAGACACCAGTTATTAAACTAGAAGATATCAATTTATCATAAAGAAGACAAGGCTCAAACGATAAAAGGAACAACGGATATTCTCAATCTTAAGAAGTTCAATTACCACAAATTAGAGAAATTGAATCTGTGTAATAGGATAGAAGATCTAGATTAGCACAAAATGTACCAATTGCTTAGCTTTAGGCTAGAGCTCTGTCAAGAGAAGCTTCTTAGGAATCATTGGTATAGATGAAAACTAGAAGAATTCTATAAGAATAGCAAAAATAAAGACAAGGGGTAAATTAAATTGAACTATCAAGATAAGGGATTGAATAAAGTAGAAATCAATCATTGATTGAGAAATATTAGTCTCCTTAAGTTGATAGGAGAGTTTAAAACTCTCAAAATAAGAATGACAGAATTGCTCTGTAAGATTTAAACCCAGTACATATGAATAATAAGTTGAATACTCCTCAATCTATGTAATCTAATTAGAATCAAGGATCACTGCTTTAAAGATAAATGAGTCATTAAAGAGAGCTGATTACTCCTAATGGTAACTCCAATAGATAACACCACGAATAGCTAGCTGGCATGATCAGATGTAATTAGAATGTTATGAGTGCAAAAGAACTAAGGAATAAATATTACGCTCCAATCGAGCAAATTCGCAAAGATCTCTCAGAGATGAGCATGAACTATGAGAGATAGCATCATGATAGCATTCTTCACGCCATTGATGGAGGAAGAGGAAGATAAAATTACTCCCACATAGTAAATGACTCAATCAATCAAAGGTAGAATTTATTAGGCAGAGGAAACTATGAAAATCAATATGAGAGAATAAATTCATAGTAAAGGTAATTACTTCCTAACTCCTATGATAATAGACACTAGGTGCTTCCCCCAAACATTATGGCTTAAAAGAGATACAGTCAGAACAGCAATGCTTAATTACAATAACTTCCTAGCAGAAATGCAATATAGCAGCTAGTCCCTCATACTCCAAAGCAACCTGGATCTGCTAATTATGATTTGAATTAAGGCAGTAGAACTAAAAGGATTATCATTAATGATGAGAATCGTAATTTGAGATAAATTCCGAGTAGAGCAGACAACTATAATTAGAACATCAGTAGGAATCAATCAAATCAAGAGGATGAGAGCTAGATACTCAAACAAATGCACAAATAAGCCTAAATGAACATGAGAAATCAATAACCAGTAAAGACTAACTACAATAGAAGAGGAGTAAGAGGCAATGAAAATTATGACCCATTAGCATAATACAAGCCAGCTTCCTAATAGCAAAATATGGGCCTTAAACTGCATATTGACAATGATAGCATACAAACTGAAAGAGGGTACCATGGAGTGCCATCTAATATTGGTCATAGACCGATACCCATTTCTGTAAATAATGGAGCAATTACTAATAGAAATGTTTAGAGTCATAATAATGCATTGCCTGTGTACAATGGCCTACGATATAGAAGAGCATGATCATTCAAACTTGGCTTAATTGCCTTATGGATAATTATGTCTCTCTTATAATTCAAACACTCATACATACATAGATAGATAGATACATAACTAATTTATCGTAATAATTAATTACTATAAAATTCAAATGCCTCTAGTGGGGTTTTGGGGTTTTGGGGTTTTGGGG